AATATTTCCACTAAATAAGAGGCAAAAAAATAAAAAATAAAATAGTTTGATAGAGGAAAACTTCTCAGACTCTGAGCTCAAAGCAAGATGCCAGAGAGCACCAAACTATTTTTTTTAATACTAGACAATTAATTTAATTTCACATAATTATCGCGGTAGAAGCCATTTGTTTGTTAAATACTTAATGAAACATATTTACCGTGTTTTTTGTGAATGACATACAGTCACAGACGAACGAGATAATTAGTCCAAGTTTGATGTTTATTGAACGTTCAGAAACTACAGCGGCTGTGATGAGCCACAGCAAAGGTAAACAAAAGGAAAATGGGGTGCTGTGGTGGCACAGAGGCAAAGCACAGCCCACACATTGAGGTCTTGGTCCTCGTGGCAGTGGTCGCAGGCTCAATTCCCGGCCTGCTGACATTTCCCCTTCTCTCATTACCCTCTTTCCTGTCAAACTACCTTCAAATAAAGGCCACTAGAGCCAACAAAACCTTTAAAAAAATAAAGGTAAAATACCCCAAACAGGTAAACAACTCCTTCCTTTTTACTCTCCGTCTCTTTGTCATTTAAGCACACCTGTTGCCATGGCAACTGCCATGAGCCGAGCTCCTCGAGCCGAGCAGAGATTACGTTAAAAACATAACATTCAGCCCATTACGATACTAGGTTTTCAGGATTTATATTTATTTTGCAATTATTAATAAGCACTCCCCTGAACACAGCGGTGGTTGATTGGTTAATTTTAAACTCCTGCTCTGCTAGTTATTTTGGTAATGGAACCGAAACGCACAGAATTGCGTAACACCTTGTTGAAACAATAATTACTGAGATTATTATTGTTGTTGGGTCATTAATTTGAACACGTTTAGTTGATGTTTTATTTTTTTTAACTAAAGTTACGAACGTTTTAATGAGTCAGAGGATGTGATGGTCTCAGCATCCTGGCGGCATTCAGTTTGTCACCTAATGCCGAGATCGACTCAAAACCTTCTGCGATCCAAGTATTATTGCACCGCTGCTCTAGCAAAGCATGAACAGTTCAGAAACAACATGAAATGGGGAAAAAGCTATTTATTAACTGATTCAGTCGTGTTTTAGATTGTTCTTGAAAAACTAATCAGTCACGGGGGATGTGCTTTCACGGTTGCACAGTGAACCCATTGATTTTTTTACAGCAGACAGCCACTCCCCTCTCTTGCAGGTACTGCGTACCCCCGCTAAGTCTTTTAGGGGTACGCAGTACCCGACCGTACCTACCTACTTTCACCCCTGGTTTCAATTTTCCAGATTTTTTTTAGGATTTTATTGCATTTGTTGACCTTCAGACTGAGTTGACCCACCTTAGATGGCATCGTGTTGGTCACAGAAATCCCATTAGGGACGCCTTCAATTTCTGGAGCCTCTGGAGGAGCTGAAAAACGAGATATTTGGTAAATTATAACAGATACATATGCAACTGAAGATGTTTAAGGTGTTTACATCTTCTATTAGGTTATACTTTGTCGTTTTTGTGCGCTGTCTTACCAAAAACCCTGAGGTGAGTCTTGCGTTCGGCATTGCCAGCCTCCTGCCCGTTGACCTGGCAGAAGAACTCCTTCTCGTCAGAGAGCTGGACGTTTTGGATCAGGAGTGTGTTTCCTCTCTGGTCTGAGGTCACCTCGATGCGGCCGCTGTAGTCTGTGTTGTTGTCGACTATCTGCTGGTTGATGTCACTGTAGAAGATCCGCATCCGTGAGCCGTTTCCTGCAGATCTCTGAAGAGAAACCAGGTAGGAACAGTCAAGGGCCTTCCAGAGGCGTTCCATTCACAAAACAAAGAGATGGCAGAAAGAAGCCTTAAACTCATCTTGAAGTGTTTTCTAAAAGGGACTAGTATTACAAGTCGTCACATATAATTTAAAGTTGGATAAGCAGGAAATGAACCACTGAAGAGTTTACTTTTCTAATTTGTCAATGAACATAGCAATCAATCTAGGTTATCAAAACTAGTCACGATCTACACTAAGAATGCTGCTAATGCACTAATAGCACAGCTAACCTTATGTGTAGCATTTTTGCTAACTTTAACTTTGTTAACATTAGCGTACCTAGCTTCCCCTGAGTTGATTTTCCTGGATAAATTCGAAAGCGTTTATTTGTGAACTTAAAACTTAAACTCGAGATTTCTTTGTGAACTTAAAGAAGCTTATTTGGTTTTCAGTTGAATTAAGTTGAAGAACTGTGTTAAAGTTTTGGCTATCGACTGATAAACGCTCTTAAAGCAGTTAGAAGCTTATATTCATGCTCTTATTTTAAAGAGGGTGAATACTGATCACACAGCATTTCCTCTCCTTAAATTGTCTCTTTTGTTTCCCTAATATCTTCATTTCAAGCAAAATAGTGGGACAAACAGACAGTAGAGAACAAGATATACACAAATATAATATCTAAGGGAATTATAGAACATGTACATAATGTCAAAATTTTAAGTGGTGTTCAAGGATTGTAGCCTTTTAAGGGCAGATATAGTTTGAATAGAAGCTAACGCTTTAGCATTACCTTCCGCTAAGTATTGTGTTGGTGATACCCTTTAGAAAAAGTGGAACTAATGTTTATATTAGTATTTTAGTGTCAGAGCAACTAACTTTTTAATTATTGTTGCCCACCACTGTGTTGTGATTAATCAGATAAATGTGAAAATTCTAGGCATCAACTCGCAATTCTCCATGGAACATTACAGCAATCTAAAGCTTTATGCTACAAGTGAAGCAGAAACCATGACTGTTTCTGGAACAGCTAGTTCCAGACAGACACTGTCAGTTTACTCACCACAAACCACTGGATTATGACGAAGCTGGGCTCTTCGTTCACACCAGTGAAGCTGTAATGGCAGGGGATCTCAGCTGGGTCACCGAGGTACACCTCCAGGTTGTCATTCATAGTCAATTCCACTTTGCCCCACACTGAAACACACATTTAAATGCACATAAATCAAGTGGAAAACCCACAATACAATAAATCAAGCCTCCATTTCACAGCAACTGTGTTCTTTCTAACTAATTTTGACCTTTAGCTTTATTCTCAGTGCAGTGGGCTTGGCAGATCACTGTCCTCCCAAGCCGATCTGGAGACACGGTGGCACAAAGAAAGAAGAAAAAAAGGCTTCTTTTCTACATGGCATCGTTTTCATCTTCCTTCTGCCTGACTGACTGCAGCCACAAAACCACATCTTGGCCAGAAAAATCGGTTCCCTTGGCATCATTTTGGGAATGCAGTTGAAGGAAGGCTGGCCAGTTCGACGCTGGGCTGTTGATTCAGAGTGCCAAGAGCTTTTTCAGCCATGTTGAACTTGGCTGCTGTTCTATTGGTCCATTCATGCAGTGACAAATAATAATAAAAAAAGGATGACACCAAAAGAAAGTCATTTTTTTCTCTTTAATCTCCTTTTGGGGGATCTTAAAAGAATACCCCATTTTTTCTCCCATGTTCTCACACTACTGCTAAGTGCTTTGTTATGTTCAGTGTAGTGTAACTTAATTTCCTCAACTCATTAGCAAGTGGGACTTTGTTCTCACGCTCAGTCCTCATAGACATTACTATCATTAATTTGGGCCTTTTATTTATTTATTTGAACTATATATGGTGTTTAAAGACAAAAGGGATTAAATGCTGAAGTTTGAACTTCTTATGGATTTTCACCAATACACACAGTAAAAATGATAAAAATAGGCTTAAATATATGGGAGTGCATCTCAATAAGTTAATATCACAGAAAGTTAGATTCTATGATTCAATTAAAGTAAAACTCCTATATTTTTATATTCCTTCTACATTTATTTCTCAATTTTGAAGATTATGGCTTACAGTAAATAAAAACCCAAAATTCACTTTATTACAAAAAAGAATGCTACATAAGAATAATTAATAATGTATTAGACCAACATTAGACACTGATACCTTGATAAAGAAGCTGGCAGGTCATTGCTACATCCAAGCAGAGTAATGGAAAGTTTAGTGGAAGAGACAAAAGGTGCATAATTTAACAACCAAGGAGAAAAAGGTTGACTGTTTAGCCACAAAGACATAAAAACATGTTTGGTGAAGTTTAAAAACCTAAAAGACAAACTAGCTGTCAAGCATGGTGGTGGTGGCATCAAAATGTGGGCCTCTTTATTCTTTTTTTGAGCTGAACATTTGCCAGAAAAAATATTTGAAGTTTTCTTGGAAATTGTCTGAGTTTGGAAAGTTGAAGATTTGAAATATTTTAAACTAAAAAAATTCCAAGTATTTGCTAGAAAATTTCTGAAATTAATGTCAAAATGTGGTGTTTTTCCAGCACATTTTCGACTTCTCAAACTCAGAAATCTCCAAGTTCTTTCTAGGAAATTCATTTAAAAAATACAGAGTTCTTACTTCTTTTTTCTTCCTTATCTCCAATGACCATAATAAGATGTCATATGAATATGAATCATATGAATGTAGGTCAATCAATCAATCAAATTTATTTGCGTAGCACATTTCAGCAACAATGCAGCTCAAAGCACGTCACATCATGAAAATATAAAAATATTATAAACACATCATACAGACAACAACTATGAAAATCAAAAGCAGACATTTCATTTTCACCCAGGAGCAGGAACTGTAACGTTTTGTTTTTAACAAACATCTTTAAATGGTTAAGTAGGAACAGTCAGGCGGATCTAAAGTTCAGGGTGCTGCTACATGTTTCCAGCGTTGGCTGAAGCAGACCATGCATGAAGGCGCTTTAGGAGTTCAGTTGCCACCCTGCTGCCTCCATTCAGCCTCCACCACCCCCAACCCTTTTCCTCCCTCTCCTCCTCTCGTCACCACCAATAATTTCTCAACTCATTTTTTTTTTTTCATTTCTGTCCCGCCTGCCTCTGGCGGTGCTCACCCAACCATTTCTTTAAGGAAACGGGCGCGCCATTGTTCCCCCACCTGGGTGGAAAAGACCTCCAACCCCCACCCAGCAGAGGTTAAAACCAGTTCATCTCGCCTCCAGTTTGTTGTTGTCGACTGCGATACAGATGATCTGAAAGGGCTTTGAGACAAGAAGGAGATTATGGAGGCTGAGGAAGACACAATGTCGCAGAAGTCAGTGTAAAAAACGTTGTGTCTCCTTGGGGCCATACTGCTAACTTTTCAGCTAATCCGATTAGCACTGGGGGGCTGCTGCGGATTTGGCTCCCAAAGCCAACCTGGGGCCGCTCTTATCTGTTCCTGTTGTGACTTAATGCAGCACCAACACACATGACCCATGATCTGCAGACCCTGACAACCAAAACTGCTGCCTGTCGGGGTGCTGGTGAATACATTTGAGTCTGTCTGCTGTCTGTGGCTGCGTGATACAGAGATAATTCATTCAGAACAGGACTCCGTTTTATTTTCTGTATTTGATGACAGAACCTGAAACCATTATAGTTAACAAAAACTAACAAAATAACAAAGACTGAAACTGAGAAAACACATAAAAACAGTAAATAATGAAATAATGGGAGGAGGGGGGACTAGACCTAACTAGAATTCAATTGTGGGTTTGTAAAAGTAAAACATATTGAGATTACAATTTGTTTTTCTGTTTACAAATCTATTTGTTAGCTGATCAAACTGCTGTGAAATTGATTTTTTTTCCCTTCACCACACAAGAGGTTTATGCTCCATACCAATCCTGGTGATATTTACACTGGCACCACTAAAAATAAATACCCTCCTGGATTTGCTGCTTTGCAAATGCCAGCCAACAGTGTGTCAAGTAGCATTGCTGCTAAGTATTTCAGCTTCCCAAACTGTTTTTTAAATAGAATATGTTAGACAGTGATGAGCACACAGCTGCTAATGCGCTAACAGCGCAGCTAATTTTTGGTTTAGTTCGATAGCTAACTTTTTAAATATAAACAAACTAGATAAGTGCTTGGAAAATCCGTGAAAAGGCACATTTTCAGTAGATAATTTGGATTCACGTTCCACAGAAAAATCCATGAATACTGCGTTGCAAATTGACTCTTCAGTAAAGAATTTTTAACATTTTTATTAATGAACTTCACAGCACTTCAGCACCTTATTTACAACACCTAACTTTCTGGAGCAAAAGAAACCATTTGCATCTTGACCCAGACAAACACTGGGACAATTTTCATCTCTGCAATCAATTCTGACACTTCAAGGCCTTCACAAAGAAAGCAGAATAAAGGCAGATAATAACCTTTCAGTTGTTCCATTTAAGAGACAGACTCACACAATGCCCTCACACCACTAATCTGACAATAAAGAACCAAATGAGGGGGGCACTTCCAGGACAGCCTTTGCATACAGTTACTCATTATGCACCAAACAGGCAGACAATACCCTCAGATGCTAACTAAAGTGGTCACTATTACTGGATTTTCCCATTCCATTAAGGCTGTCAGCTTAGGTCGCCAGCAGATCTGCAGCTCAGCCTCTGATAAGAGTCCAAATCACCTCTGACACAACAAACCGGCCTCATTTACTCACACTAATCTCTCACAAGCTCCATGAGGCATGAAATTAGACTGAATCCTTCTAAGAACATAAAAATGTCATCTTGGAAATGCTGTTAAATCCCTCATTTTCACTGTACGGATCAGGGTAATTGTTGGAGATTTGAGAAGAAATTAAAAAGGTGTGGACCGTGTTACAAAGTCACAGAACAAACGGTTTTAAATAAAGGGAAAACATGATTTTATAAAATGCCTTACATTTATTCATTGCCTTTTAACCTTTCCACATTTTGTCATGTTGCAATCTGAGACTTTTATTATTTTAATTGTATTTTATGTAAGTAGAATATGAATTTTATACATTTTACAACAATAAGAACCTGAAAAACGTTTTTAATATTTGGAAACAAGTGTGAAACCGATCTTGTGTTCCTCTACAAAGGTCTAAAAATCAGCAATTGCCCCCTTTCTCTGCCGTGAGAGAGGGCTGACAGACTGACCCGCACAAAAGGTCTTGTCTGCACATATATGGTAAATAATAGTCACCTCACCAAAAAAAAAAAAAAATTTAAATCCCGCTAAAAATCGAAAGTCAGGCCTTTCAAAGATCAGTGATCGGCCATAAAAATGCAATCGGTGCAAAAAATTACTAAAGGTTTAGGAGCTATGAATACTTTTGCAAGTTTCTTTAAAGTAAAAATTTCTTTGCATGTATTTTGAGAGAAAATCAGCATTTTCCTACAAGGCCTACAAGAGGAAATATGTGAACAGATCAGCATTTAAAAACTTCTAGTTCCTGCAGACCCAATCAGAAAGTTTTACACCGACACTAAGAGTCCCTCAGAGAGAGGAGGGTGTAAAAAGCCGACATGTAAGAGTGGATAACATGCAGGAGTGTTTCTCAATATGCTGCCCTGATGTGCTGCCGAACACCTGGGGGACTCCCACTACTGGCTGACATCAAAGGCCACACATACACGCCACCACACAGAAAACACACACTATGGGGATGAGAGCTCCTTGTCCACCTGATGTGCTTTCAGAAGCAGCATCTGGCACAAATCTCCTTGCAGCCTGTTCCTGATGTGTCTGACAGTGAGGGGGCTGGAGCTCTTTTCTTTCACACACAGAGAGAGATAAGGAAGTACTGCAAATCTCCTCAAAGACACCTCTTTATGTATCTGAGGCCTCTTTTTTTTCAATGCAGCCGAGCATGTCAGGGATCCAGGACAGAGCCTTTATCGGTCCTCCAAGGTCAATGAGGAGGTGAAAACTCTCAGCTCAAGACGCCCACAGAGAGAACAAGGCTGGGATACTTTGATGGACAAAACATGGAGTCTGCAAACAGAACTGCAGTAGTACACTGCAAAAAAACAAAATCTTACTAAGGATTTTGTCTAGTTTCTTGTTCAAACATCTTAGTACACTATAAGTAAGAAAAACTATCTAGGAGATTGCTTTAAGCAAGTAATTCTTTAATA